GTTGATCTAATTCTTCAACAATCATTATATTCACAGGTAGCATTTTGTTGTTTTTTTTTTATTTCAAACCGAATAAAAATTTATAACTTTTAAATAAAAATTATTATTTAAACCAACTTCTATGGTTTAATAAATAATTTTTATAAACTTATGTATATTTATTTGATGATAGGAGGTATGGATTTAAAAACCATATGTTAGACAGAAAAAAAAATATCGCTTAGTTGGCTAAACTGCTTGTTTCTTATTTCTTTACCATGGTGGTATATCACATTTCCCCAAATTTGCCAAACTTACCAAAGGATTATATCGATGTGTTTCAAGAAAACCAATTTACATTTCGAACCGAACCGAACGAGATTGGTTTTGTAAGAATCTGGATATCTATAAAACGACATTGAGATTTCAGGAGTCCACAGAATTACATATTATTAAAAAGAGATTTAAAAAAATCTAAATATTAGTAACAAGCAAACTTCAAATTATTGACAATAAATCTTGCCTCTAGGAGACCCATAGACCTTATAAACTACTGAACTGTCATTTTGCCAATATACACGATAATCGCACTAACATGTGCGAGAGAGAATGAGCTAGTGCAGGCTAATTTTTCATTCACAGAACTTCGACTGTAGCTTCCTGCGGTTAATTCAATCAATCATTATTTCTTATTATTTTTTTTTATTTATTTTTTTATTTATTTATTTTTATAATTTCTTATCCCATTTTTCTGTTGGATTGTATTCGCGTTTGAAGTTAAGATAAGTTAACTACATTTATGTGTGACAGCTACAATTTCCAAAAGTAAGGTTAAGTTAAAAAGTTTAAAAAATTATTGATTAGGTTCCTGTTATGTTTTTTATTAAATTCAGATGAATGGCAGAAGGTATAGACGACGAATTTATGATCTTGCATTCATGACTTACAAAGACTAAAAATTATATAGAGACTTGAAGACACATTTTCAACTCCATTAAAAATCTGTAGGTATCTGTTAATTTTATAAGTAAAGCTACACTTATGATATCAACAATTAAGTACTGTACGTTTAAAAAAAATCCAAATACAAAATTACTAAAATACATATTTTTATTGATTGATATATTTTCTGAAATTATTAGATTTAGGGTGTCGAAATTCTAGGATTGTTAATGATGATGATTTTTCATCATCTCCACCACTGGACAGATTTGTGTATCAATTCAACATATTTTTGCCCATAATTAGTTAAATTATTACCATTTATTTTGGCAGGACAATCCGGTACATCCTTTGTATCAGTAATCCGCTTTAGTTTAAACAGTGCTATTTATTTCAGTATTAGTTCTTAAACAAAAGTCGATTTGAGGATTTATCTGTTTCTCAAATATGTAAGTTTAGGCACCGAAATTATCACTAATGTACAGTTTACAGTTCTTAACCGTGAATGGTTTTAAATCTGCCAGTACAATTCTATCTGTAGGCACTGCTATTCACAAGATTGTATTTCTTTAAAGTAAGCACTGACTTTTGAAAAAAGTAAGTTTGTTTAATCTAAAGAAACTTTTGAATAGGCTCCTTCAGTAAATTTTAATTTATAACTTGTTTTTATATTTTTTGTAAGTACTTAATCCCCTAAATATATGGTGGAAAAATCAGGTCGGTGGCGGTAATATTAACTGTAAATAATATTTAAATTGTAAAAGATTTAAAACAAGCCATTTGTAACACATCTGAAACGTCACACCACTCGACTGGCTATCTCAATGTTTTATTAACTATCTATTAACTCAAGTTATTTATTTGAAGTTTACCTAGTTTTATTTTTTCTATTTATTTGTATTTTTTCAAAAAGAAAATAAATAATTAAAAATATCCTTGCGGAAATAGAAATCAAATATACTTTTAGTAAACTATTATTTCAAATAAAAAATCTCACTGAGTAAAGCATAACAAGAAAAAAATACAAATCATGCACTACAATTGAAGACTCAGGTGCAAGGAGATAAGACAATTTTTTTAAATGAGATTTCTGCAAGTATAGGTTTAAAAAAGTTCTCTTTTTGTTAGGTGTAATGGAATCTGTGGAGAAAATAGAAACCATACAATAATATAAAATCACTTTTCCCATGTTATAAACTAGTGCAAGAACGAGATAAGTTACATGGCACTTATTCCCTCCTTGCACCATATATGTGTTTGTTTTTGTTCAGACCATTATCTTAAATACCATCATTATTATAAATAATAACTATGTATAAGTACATATCTACAAATTTTTTATATTGGAAAATGTTTTGAATGCTACTTATTCACTTCTTCCACTTGGGGCAAATTTAAAAATAAAAAATAACTAACAACACATTCACATATCCCATCACTTCAATTTTTTGTGCATGTTATATTTAGTTATCCAAATTATCCAACAAAAACATGATACAACTTACATCTATCAAAGAATTCCTTAGATGCAATGAAAAATCATGTTAAAATAATAACAAGAAAGCACACAAAATTATTAAAAAATAAAAAGTTCTGATTTTCTGTTGAGCTCATATGTCGTAAATGTAAATCCTCGAGACTTGTGTTATTATTTATTTTGTATTAGTATTAAATATAATAATAAAGCAAGTTGACAAGATCTAATTAACTACTATTTAACATTTTTTTGTAAAACAAATTTTTAGTTATGGGACTACTCGAATGAAAATTATCGATTATATCGATTATGAAAATCTGTCGAGATATCTCGAGTGATCATATAGATTCATTTGATTATTCGGAGACGAATGACAGTGGCCACAGTGTTACTAACATCAGTCGCTACAAAACCTCGAGATAAGACGGCCGAGAGGATGGATGAGACAATCAAATATCACCGACATACAATAAAAAAGATATGCAGGAATTTTATGAGTGGCATTGCGCGGTTTTGAAGAGCGGTTTAGAAGGGAGCTTTATTTAGTGAGGATAGAAATTCATATAAATGAAAATAATACAAAAATTATGTTTTCTATATAATAGTTTTTTTTCAAAAAAATCCCAAACAATGGACTTCTTTAGGCGGCGACTACTCATTTTAAACACATGCTGCTGAACCACTCAACGGGCAACGAAGAAATGCCGCAATCCACGACAGTCATTCATTTACCTAGCGTCAACATGTTTCACATATGATTTGGGATAAGTCGGAAATTTTCGAAGTGAACTTTCGATTATATAGGGTGTCCCGGAAATGGTGGGCAATCTCTCGAATATAGATAGATAATGAGAAAATAATGTCACAAGTTCATATAAAATTTTTTCCTCCAGGCTCACCCTGTAGAGTTATTAGCTCTTGAAGTTGAGAATTAAAAATGGTTTTTTTGCTGTAACTTTTGTATTTTTAAATAAATATTGAAAATTTTTTGGCTGGATCTATAATTTTTGAAGCTGCTTTGGATGATAATATGAAATCCACGATAATAATTATGCGGGCCCGGGGGCAAAGCACCCCCTACCAAAATTTCTTGAAAAAAATTTTTTGTTTCACTATACCCCAAATTTTCCATAATTTTTTAAAAATTTGTGGTATTTTACGTAAAAAAGGTATACTTGTTGAATATCCATAAAATAGATATTTTTTGAGATAAACCCGTTTAAAGAGGAAGGTACCATTTAATTTGAGACATTTTATTTAATTGAAACACAAATTTAATCGTGGTTGGCTTTGACATGTCAGAGTATGTCAAAGGCAATTAAATTGTCAAACTTGTCAAATACGTAGTTTTAAATCTAAGCCTCATCTCATAACTCATAATTTGTTATAAAATATGCAGTATTCCAATGAAGAATATGCTGATATGCATTTAATGTAGTACGGGCGGGCTCTTTGTAATGCTTCGGCTGCAAGAAGAATTTATCAGCATTCTTATCCTAATAGAAGGATTCCGGATCGCAAAACTTTCAAACGTATTGATCAAAGATTAAGAGAAACTGGTAAAATACGATTACTATTATTAAACAAAATGGATATTAAATCAATTTTAATGTCTTTAGGTCAGTTTGCTCCTGTTATTACAAACAGGGGTGCCCCGCGAACAGCACGTAGAGTTAAAGTAGAGGAAAATATACTGGACTCATAATTTTAGTGATACAACAGCGGTACCGTTCTGACACATATCATATCAATATTAGTTTTTTTAAGTAACAAATCGGTAAAAACAATGCAAAACTAGCACGACGCCACACAATTATTTACATATTCCAATAACATAACCTCATTACTGATCTGAGGGTGGAAATCTGTTGGGTTGGTACTTCCGAACTTCACAAAGAAATTGACGAAAATTAGAACATGCTCTAATTCGTCAAGAACTTGATGAATAAATTCATGAAGTTATTTGACAGCAGATTTGGTGAATTACACTTGTCCAATTTCTTGATGAAGCGAATTCATGAATTAATTGATCAATAAATTGTCAATGTAAAACAGCTATAATTTTCATCAATTTCTTCGTGAAGTTGGGAAGTACCAACCCAACAGATTTCCACCCTCAGATCAATAATGAGGTTATGTTATTGGAATATGTAAATAATTGTGTGGTGTCGTACTAGTTTTGCATTGTTTTTACTGATTTGTTACTTACAAAAACTAAAATTTATATAATATGTGTCAAAACGGTACTGCTGTTGTATCAATACAATTATGAGTGGAAAGGTGACATTTTTGAAATTTATTTGCTTTGATTCATTGGTAGAACTGATTCATACGTCAAAAAACTTGACAAAGTCTGTAGCAGTGTAAAACCACACTGTTTACCAATAAATTCATGAATTAATTCATGAAGAACTTCATCAATTTATTGATGAATAAATTGTCAATGTAAAACAGCTTTAATGCATGTTTTTCAAAAATTATCTGAAATTTTATTTATTAGATTTTACAAATAAATTTACAAGTTCTAATAACTTTTTGTTATCATTTAAAATAGAACAGTCCGTTTACAGTTACTTAATTTAATAATTCTTTTTTTTTTCAGATTATATTTGACCAGTTGTGGTATAGAAGAAGTCTCACAAAGTTTGTGGTCAACGGCATCTGTTTCCACATGTATGCATGTAACCAAAATTTATAATCTATAAATATCACATTGGATTCTTTTTGACCAGTTTGATTTGGCGAACTGCCAACCAACAAACAAACAATAAGTCATGTTCCATTGCTATTACATTATTTTTTTCTCTTTTTGTGTGGTAGGCATGTTTGCCCCTATCGCTGGTCAATTACTTGACATGGTAGTGTCCACCAGTACTTTTCGATTTTTGGGGTGCCGAATGTGTGTGGATATGAACTTTGCAAACTGTGAGTGCTACCTATAGCTATTGAACGCTTGTGAATAGTGATGTGACTTCTCTTTTACACCATCAAGTTCCATCTGAAGACTGCAAAGTTAAGTGATTAAATCCTCTTCGTCACTTTTTGTGACTTTTAAATTGATCTTTCTTTCACAATGTAACTTGTTTATAATAAAGAATTATTATCTTTCACATATCGACTAAATAATAAGTAAAATCATTACATTATCTTTTAAAGTGCAACAAATTTATACTAATATGAAACATTTGACAATGATTTGACCATAACTAAAGTATATACAATACAAAATAAGTAAAATATACCAAAGAAAAAATACAAACAAAAATTATACAGAAACGTATTTTCTTCAACAATATTTTAAACCTTTTATTTTGAATGGAACATGGTATAAAAAATATATATTTAACTAATTAAAATAAAGAAATTTAACACAACCAGAAATCAATCCAATCTTGTTTGGGAGTTTTTATGATTTTTAATAGATTAAAAAATGTAAGGCTTATGAACTGCAAAATACATTGTTACCATACAAAACTATTTCTAATTTAAAATTATATGTTGGATTGTCCAGATACACATAACTGTGTAGCAATTATTTGAAAAAAATTGGCTGGTGACTAGTTCTTCCAAATGCAAAATTGTAGGAAATAACTTGATTAAGAAAAATTTACCAATTATTCTTTCCGGTGTTGCTAGATTTCTGCAGTAGCTGCTAAAACAATATTTTTTAAATGGCAACACCGTATTTTTTTTAACATAATTTGACAAATCTTCAAATTCTAAATAGAAAATGTCACATTTCTTTATTGGAGTAGCCGTTTTCGAACAGTCAGTAAAAACAATGAAAATAATCTGCAGTTGGCAGGAACTAAAAGAAATTAACATAGCAATAGTAGGCCTTGAATATTAAACAAAAATTGTGTTGTTTGAAAGGAGCCATCAATATTGTATTGTCATTGTGTTATTTGAAAGCTGTTGTATTTGAATGTGTATAAAAATAACGTTTTAATTCAGTTGCTAAGATGAATCAGTTATTTAATCCAAGAAAGTTGAATTAATTTTTTTTCATGTTGGTGGCTTAAATATACACAATACCAATATAATAATGATAGCTCCTTTCAAACAACACCAAACAACACAATTTTTGTTTAATATCCAAGGCCTATTATTGTTGTGTTAGTTTCTTTTAGTTCCTGCCGACTGCAGATTATTTTCGTTGTTTTTGCCGATTTTGCGAACATTTTCTATTTAGAATTTGAAGGTTTGTCAAATTACGTTAAAAAAATACAGTGTTGCCATTTAAAAAATTTTAGTAGCTACTGCAGAAATCTGGCAACACCAGAAAGAATAATTTATAAATTTTTCTTAATCAAGTTATTTCCTACAACTTTGCATTTGGAAGTACTAGTCTATTACTTCAAAAAAAAAAGTTAGCAGTCAGGTTTTCAAAAAAATAGCACTGTATATATACACATCGAGTGTCCCAAAAATAGTTGAGGCACATAAGGGTGGAAAGAGGGGGTGAGATACGAAAAGTCCTTTGGGGTTTTCTTACGCATCCTTTATAAGTATTATAGGAGTTAAATAAGGTACTCAATCAGGAGCACGCTTTAAAGAAATGCCAAATGGTAGGAGAAGCATGGTACGGTCAGTAAAGAGGCGATCGGGGTATCACTGCAGTGGGCTCGCCCCACCACCGCAGAAAGCACCAAGGTCGATGAAACACGAAATAGGTTCAATTATTTATTGTTTTATTTTATTTAAAAAAAAATTATAAAAAATCACCGCTTTTAATCAGAAGTCACGGCTTGTGAATTCTTTTTTTATTTGTGAAAAAAAATATATCTAAAACTCGCAGAATTCATTTCATTGTTTATTTATTAAAAATCCCCATTGTTAACCCAAAGTCCAAGCTTCTGATTTTTTTTTGTTAGTGAAAAAAAATCACGGAATTTATTTCATTTTTTATTTATTAAAAATCCCCTTTTTGAATACAAAGTCCGAGCTTTTAAATTTTTTTATTTGTAAAAAAACAATTTTGCATATTTTTACCCAATGTTTTTTTTCATTGAGTATTTTCCCTTTTTACTCGAGGAATTCATATAAAAAAAAAATAATAATTCTGTCAAAAAATCTTTTTTTTTGCTGATAAAATAAAACAAATAAATGAAGTTATTCTGTGTTTCGGCAGCCTTTAAGCTCTTGATACGGCGAGCCCGCTATCAACTATTTTTGGGACACCCTATATTTAGAATATCCCTTATACTTTTTAGATACACACGATACTAAGTAGGTATTATATAACCATTTCAGAACTTCTATTTTTTTGCAATTTAATTATTTATGAAATACTGACTACAATAAACAGTAATTAGTATTGTTTTCACACAAGAGTAATTAGTAAAATTACTAATTCAAAATTTAAAAATGTTTTACGTGTGCTACAATTCAACCCAATACATCAACATATCGGCCAAATTATATTGGTGTTTGTAATATAAAAATAAAACTGGTTAAAATGCATGCATATAAACAAAACTACGAAAAATTTAAAAAAAGAAAAAATATATTCATATAAAACACTTGTTACATTTAAAAACCATAACAGTCTGATTTTTATTTGTGAATATGTGGTAAATATAGTAATACTTATTAATCATAAATTTTCATTTAGCGTACCTATAATAAATTTTATTTTCAAATTCATTATGTCTAAAAAATATTTACAGATGGATTGAAAAATTATGTTTTGGTAAATACACAGAATAATTACTCCACTGTGATTAATGGCTGCTTCTTCCTTGTACACCCAAAATAAATACAGGAATATGTCGGTAATAAAGTATTAATATCCAATCATTCTTTTTTATTAAATGTAAAAATATGTTGTTAATGTATTAGTAGAAATTGAAAAAAAAAATAGAAGCAAAAACTGCTGACTCTACAAGCGATCTTCCAAACTGATCAAGTGCCAAAAGTAAAAATGACTGTAACTGACAAGCACTGTATTAGAGTAAATAAAATGATAGGGTTTCATTCTCATTTTGATGGAAGTTAAATTCTAGAATTAGAGCAGCCATATTTTTTTTGGAATTTTTTAGCAAACTCTATGGGATTGATATTCTGGGTTTTCCTTTTTAGAGACATAGGACAGTTCCATTTAAAATAAATAGTTGCAGTTTTTTGTTAGCAATTTCCCTAGATAGCAACATTGTAATATAAGAGAAAAGAGAAAAAAAGACACTGGCTACAATAATACCCTGGACTTTTAATGAGCAACATATCTGATACTATTATGATAAAGTTTTTATAAATTTTTTAAGTGTAATATACACATACACCCAAAAATATAATGACATTTTAAGCCCAATGTAGTAAATTATCCGGTGTACTATTACAAATTCACTGTTTTTGGGGAACGTCATAATAAAAATTGCACTTTATCAATAATAATTCGATCTCTATGTTATGGAGTTGCTGTCTTAGGAAACTCAAATTTCGATATTATTAAATATATGTAGTCATTGTCAATTCATATTTTTAAAAATTTACATCATTTAACAGTAATTTATATGGGTTTTATTGTGTTTTTAATAGCATAGCAGGGATGACATTGCAAAAGTTGTTTAAAACTGCTTATCGTATGTTTACAACCTTTATTTTTAATCTGTTTGATGTTTGGAATGTCTGATAATTCAGTAAGTAGGCATGTCAAATGTTTTACATATTAATAAATGCATTTAAAATGTTTTTTTAAATGTTTAAATTTCAGGATATTATGTGGTTTATAGAATAATAAACCTCTGTTAGCATGTTCACATTAATATAAGCAAAACATAATTACTTTACTGTAATTTATTGTTATTTTAACATTTTGTAAATTTGTTATTATAAAAAAGCTTCAAAGTATTTGAATAGTTATGGTTAGGAAGTAAAAATTCAGGGAAATTAAAGTTAAAAGAACAAAGCATCTTCAGAATTGGAAGTGAGATTTTCTTATAAAGTAAAATCTCATTAATCCGGCACGATTAAAAACCTAAGAGTGCCGGGTTACTGGAAAATTCGAATAATGGAATATGTATAATGTAAACAGTATTAAATTAAAAATTGTTACTTTTAATTGTTTATTAACAAAGAGTTTGGTACATATATACATACGTATTACATTTGTGTGTGCATATAATGTAGATATATTGTAATGTTTTTATTTTTCTGTAGAATAATCTTTCAACTAAACTATAACTTTATAAACTGTATTCTTCAAGGATAGTAGACGCGGAAAAAAATAATGCCGAATTACTAGATGTGCCGAATTATAGAGATTTTACTATATTTGTAATTATTCACAATACTATTTTCTCTTTGTAGAATTAGTATTATATTAATATTAATGTGAACATTTTCAAAAATCATTGACTTTCAGTTGTTAGGTCAAATATTGTTCATACGACAAATGTCTTTGTAGAATTTCAAAATATTGCAGTTTAAATTATGACAGTGGCTATGAATATAAACAAAATATTTCAATATCAAATTACGACATTTATAGCCTAACGCAAAATGGGGAATTTAATGCCAATTTAAACTACAGTTAATATGTTTTCACAGTAAACAAACTTGCTGCCAGTCATTATATCTGTTTAAAAGGAACGAATTAAAATTGCTTATCCTATTTTTTCTGTTCCCTTCAGGAAATTAAAAAAAAATGTATAAAACTAGGAAATATGAATTGTTTAATCTTCACAAAAATAATTGAACATTAAGTTACAATATATTTATGGGATGTTCCACGTCAAACGTAACAAAGCTGTGCCCAAAATCTCGTTGGTAGATGTGAACGAATGAGGGCTTAAAGATTCGTTAGGAATGCCCCTTTCGAAAGGCAAGTGGCTCTTTCGAAAAATTTTAAGTAGCGACCCAATATGGCGGCTAGAAGTCAGCATAAAAATCATATATTAAAAAAGATTATTTGTATATTAAGATCAATTTAATCGGATATAGCATTAAAATGTATGTATTTGACGTACTTCTAAAGTAACTATAGTTTTTTGCGTATTTTGAATTGGCGGATTCAATATGAGCCTATAAAGCCCAAAAGCCACTAAAATTCATAAAAAATCAGTAGTAGATCAAAGGTCTCGCAGCAATTAAATTTAACCCAAAATGCCTT